TTCTACCTTGCCTTATGGAGAGGATGTCAGAATTTAAGAATATAATAATGTAAATGCTTGACATTTTGTCTGGCTTCTAGTAAGTAGTGAACACATGCTGATTCTGTTTCCCTTGAATCTCTTCCTTTGCCCACCTTTTCCTTGCAACCCCTGTATTAGCACGAGAAAATAATCATACCAAGAAACAGTCTAGGTAAAATCTAAGATGGGCTATTTTGTAGAATTTGTGTCAAAAGTTCTGGGTTATGTCCAGGGGGGATAAAAGAGAAGACATGGTCCCTATCCTCAGAGAGCTCACAACCTGTGGCTGAGACAGTCAGGTAGGACAAAACCTCCAGAACTGTGTGATAAGTGCTATGACAGTGAAGGGGCACCTTAGCACAGAATATGGGGTCACTGAAGTCTTCCTGGAGGAGGTATGTGCCTCCTAGAAGCAAGCTATAAGACTGCAGGCACCCCAGGGAGTGGTGAGAGGGAAAGAAAGGATTTCTGTCTGCTAGGTCAGCTCCGGTACTCTTTTATGTTATGCAAAGTCAAGGTGAAGTAAAGAGAACAGACTTGAAGCTGGAGGATAATATGGTAAGGTAAGAAACTGAGTGGAGGAGAGATCTGAAAAAACTGTGTGGGCTGAGAGGAGCTGGAAAGGATAGTTTTGGGGAAAAGCTAACATCCAGGTGGAAAATGTTGAATGAGAGAGAGGGAATTTTTAAAGACATTGGGCTGTATGGGCTGGCCCGTGGCTCACTTGGGAGAGGGTGGTGCTAATAACACCGAGGCCACGGGTTCAGATCCCTATATAGGGATGGCCAGTTCGCTCACTTGGGAGAGTGTGGTGCTGACAACACCACGTCAAGGGTTAAGATCCCCTTACTGGTCATCTTAAAAAAATAATAATAATAATAATAAAATGACATTGGGCTGTACATTAAAATGTGATCCTGCTCCACTCCCCCTCTTCCCTGCCTCTGATGTTTCCTTGAGAAACTAAGTAGAGATTTAAGTTATTTTAAATTAGTTTTTGATTACCAGACTGGGTTCCTTTTATTGTGTTATGTGTCATGACTGGACCACTAGGGGCCACAGGATTTGTTCAGAATGTAGAAAGACAAGATATTGTGGTGGAAACCAAGCATAGTAGAATTAAATTTTCAGAAATGTAACAGTTCTAGGGTATGGCCAGAGTGAAATAGAGATGAAGATTTTTTTTTTTTTTTTAAAGATGACTGGTAAGGGGATCTTAACCCTTGACTTGGTGCTATCAGCACCGCACTCTCCCGAGTGAGCCACTGGCCGGCCCGAGATGAAGATTCTTGAGAACAGGGAACTTACAAATGAACATCTGGGGGTGGTCAGAAGATGGTAGATAGAAAGAGTGATAGAAAGTGAAGGTCAGTTCTGCAAGAACATAACACCTTGTGAAACAGAGTAAGGCTAGGCCTGTGAACCAAACTGACTCCATTTTCCCTGCAGAGGACACTTTGTTATTTTTCCACTCTTCAGTCTTGAGACCCCCAGGGCAAATGATTATCCCATGGGCTTCCCTGACAAAACAGACTGAGATAAGAGAGGAAACAGATATTTACTGAGTTGCAAAATCCCTCCCCAAGGCTTACCATAATTGTAAAAGTTACAGATTAGCCTTAAGACCCCTTTAGGAATTCCCACCTGTGCATAAAGCATCAAGGTGACTGCTACAATGACCCTCCTGGGGTGACAATGACGAAAACCACTGCCTACTGAGCATGCACCCATAACGTAACCAGGAAGAACTGAACTGGACCACCTCCATTGACACTGGCCTATACCCCTTAACTCCTTTCCCTATAAAAGACCCTGAACAGCTCCCCTCAGGGAGCTAGCTTTACTGTTGCTATCCCCCTTATGCATAAGTCTATCTCCTCTTTTAATAAAGCTTTGCTTGCTTTACTGTTTGGGTACATTGTTCATTTCTATAACTTTGGAATCTGAGAGCCTAATCTAATCACTGGCAAAAATTGGAAAGCTTTGGGCACCGGAGAGCACTCTAGCTGCAAGAGGCAAGTAGCCACTGGGACTGTTTTGCTTCCATGTCTCTGCTGCTGGTAGATTTCTCCTGGAGTCCCTGGCCTAAATTCTGACAAGGCAATGCTTTATTCTCTTTACCTTTCTCTCATTTTCCAAGCCCTCTTCTGTTTGGTTGGATTGTATCCACTTCTGTATAGGTGCACCCTGGAGGGCTCCTGGCGATGCTTTGTTTTTCTGATTTAAATCTAGTTGATACTTTTCTTCTTTATGCTGAAAACAGTGGGGAGAACTGCTTTTATCAATTACTGTTAATGGAATAGGTTGGCCCCACTGATTAGGACTAGACAAAACTGGACCCTACTGCTCCTCTTTTCTCTTTGTTTGTTTGCTTGATTAGACATTTAGTTGCGTACCTATAATTTGAATAAACCTTCCAATCCTTGCATCAACTTTTGGACTTTCAGGTCATTTGTTTAAGGCGACAGGGCAAGCCGAGCCTGACCTGTCGGTAACAGTTGGAGGAGTAGAGAGAGGGTCAGAGAAAGGTTTCTGTGGGAGAACCACATTTCAATGATCTGTATTAGTCTGTGTTTTCTGCTACATAGTGAACTCCTTAAAAAATCAGAGCTTTTATTCGGTTCCATTTTGTGCTCAAAATTCAGATGTATTGAATATCTGCTGTCTGCTGGCACTTGTCCGTAGTTCTCACTAATTACTACAAAATTCCTTAAGATGGGGTTCATTTTACAGATGTATTGCTCAGTCACACAGCCAATGGGTTTCAAAGCTGGTATTATTTTCAAACCCAGTATTATCTTATTTTGAGCCTCCACAGGCACATCAAACTCATTAAGTCCAAAGTCTGTCATCTCTACCCCTCCCCTAAAATGTGCCTCTTCCTAAATTTTGTTTCTCATTAAATGGTACCACCCAGTGGTTCAAATCAGAAATCCAGGAGTCATCTTGGAGTCCTCTAACTCCCTGGCTTGGCACATCCAGTCAGTCACCAAGTCCTGCTTGTCTCCTGAAAGTTCTCTGTTGACCTAAAAAAGAAAACTGATGCCAAATACATACAGCAAGGAGTTTATGTGAGCGTATATAAGGAACTGCAGTCCTGGAAGACACAGCCAAGTTGCCTTTGAATGTGCTTTGAAGGAGGTCAGCAAAATTCAGCATTTTATAATCACATAAAGGGGGAGAATCAAAGGGGAGAGAAGAGGACAGCGCCCCCCATCACTAGATCAGTTTTTCTATTGGTTGTACATGACGTATAGATTTGGGATTGTTACTAGGTTACATCCCACACACAGGGATCTAGGGTAAGGGTTATAAGAAGCAGTCAAGACATGCCATCACATCTGCTTCTAAGTAAAAGAGTCTTATGATAATGTTTTCCGGGACATGAGGCATGACTACTGGCTTATCCCAGATCTCCCAAGGCACTATAATTTAGCTGACCTGGTCAGAGCAGATTTTTTTTTTTTTTAATCATCTCAAAAATACTTTCTTCCTTCCCGTTCTACTGATATTACTTTATTTTGCATGAGCTTCACCTTACTCCCAGATTTCTGATTTCTGCCATAATGTCCTAAATAGTTTCCCTGCCTCCAGGCTTGACCACTTCAGTTAATGCTCCACGTTTCTTTTCTTGTGTGTGGGGCTGGGGGGAGGGTGGGGGTTGGCAGCTGGCCGGTATGGGATCTGAACCCTTGACCTTAGTTTTATAATACCATGCTCCAACCAACTGAACTAACTGGCCAGCCCCATGCTCCACATTTCTACCAGTGTAAAGTTCTTAAAGGTCTGATTATAGCATTCTCTCTGTTTAGAGCACTTTAATGCCTTCTTCTCACCTCAGGATAAACCTGAAATTCTTTTACTGTGCTTTATGGAGTTTTTCATCATCTGGTACCTGCTTCCCTTTCCAGTCTTATATCTCAACATTCTCTTCACTCCATTGTCTAGCCTTACTGATCCACTTTTAATTTCCCCTACTCCCAAATTTCTATCTCATTTCTAGACTTTTGCTCTTAATGGTTTTATCTGTCCAAAACACTGTTCATCTGTTAAAAGATAATATTCAGAACAAGGTAGAATTATGACTCTCATACTGTTAAAAAAATTATTCTGACACTTGTTTAAACAGTAAGGAAGACTTTATTCAGGACTATTGTGATAGGTCAAGAGACTACCCAATAAGCGGGAGAGAAGACATCAGGTTCAAATCCTAATACAGCAAGGACAAGTGGGGATTTATAGTCAATGATGAGAATGAGGGAGTCAGTGGACGGAAGACTACATCAAGGGTAGGGGGATTCTTGCCAAACCGGCTTAACAGAAAACTTGCCTAAGGCAGGTGAGGGCGATGAGATATCAAGGGTGGGGGATTCTCACTAAACTGACTTAGCAGGATTCCTGCTAAAACTAGCTAGGCAGGCCCAAGACATAGCCCAAGGACCAAAGCTAGTCAAAATGAGGGTCTCAGAAAAGCCTGTCTAAGGTTTGGTTAAGGAGTCTTTGTAAACACGTTTCCTGTACCGGATATCCACCAAAAAAAAAAAGAAAAGAAAAAAATTAACATGTGATTTGTTTCTTAACTGATGAAAGAACTGACAGATGTTACAACCGGTTCAAAAGAAAATCTAGAGAACATTTGAATACAGAAATGAACATGGAAACGAAGGCAAAAAATTTTTTTCCACAATGTGGGGAGTAGGAGGTTAACTGAACCTCTACCAAACAGGACATAATTTGCATGCGGATCAGTTACCTACACTGAATTGTAAAATAACTCCCATGAAAACAGAATCTCATTTAGCAGAAGGATATGCTATAGACAATTCTTTCAGGTTTCCCATTAGCCATCACTTCTGGAATCTCCACGTGTGAATGAGGTGTCATTTCTGGACTATCATATTGATCACATTATATTGTTTACTTCCTTCCCCTCTCTTCTCCCTCCTTCCCTCCTCCCCGCCATACATGCACACAAGTCCATGGGCATTTTGAGGCGGACATTGTGAGTTACTCAAGTCTCTTATTGCTTCCTCAGCGAGAACATCAGCGAGAACACAATATATTAATACCTGGGGGTAGTGGAAGCCACAAGACAAACATATTGCATATTAACTGAGCGTCCATTTTACTGTAATATCTAAGGAAACACATTCTTACATTAAAGCAGACGCTGCCTTTCCCTCCACCTTCAATGTTTCATTGTCTTATTAACTAACCGTTTCTATTTCAAGGCCTGCGGAATACCATGGGGACACAAAAATGCGTTGTAGTCTGCAACGCTGCAGCCTGAGCGAGAAAAAATTTCGATACTAAGTGGCACTAGGTTGCAGCGGACGCCACTGACACACTGGGAGAGGGGCTAAGCCTACCCCGGGGTGATAGTGAGGTGATCGGACGCGCCAGAAACTGTCCTACCAGCCCCGTGCTCAGTTTCGGCCCTTAGGGAAACGAAGGGCTTTTACAAGTCTGAGGGATAGGGCCCCTTCCGCCCTCCGGCCTACACCGCATCCCAGCCGCGCGGGCCGGGGCGGTACTCCTGCACTCGCCCGCAGGCCACGCGGTCCTGGGACCCTGCTCAGTCCGCTGGGGAGGCTCCGCTCCGAAACCCCGCCCCATGACGCGAGGCCCCGCCTCCGCAGCGCCCGCTTCCAAGATGGCCGCAACGATGCCTGCCCGGCTGTCGGGGTGGCGGTGACGACGGGAGCAGAAGACCAGGTATGTAGGCTGGGAACGGCGGAGAGAGAGGCCCGGGAGAAAGGTTCGGGCGGTCGGGAGGGTGAGAAGTTTTGGGTAAAGGCTGGAGACGAGCTTGAGCAGGTCCGGGTCCCAGGTGGAAGTATAGACGGGGGCCGGGTGGGCTCACTTTGCAACGTAGGGCAAACGCAAAGGGAGATTGGGATGAGATGGGCGTGCTCCGAAAGAACTGAGTTTTACTTGTGGGCTCCCAGCTGGCTGTCATGATGTACCTGTCACTGGGAGGCTTCCGAAGCCTCAGTGCTCTATTTGGCCGAGATCAGGGGCCAACATTTGACTATTCTCACCCCCGTGATGTCTACAGTAACCTCAGTCACCTACCTGGGGCCCCTGTTGCCCCAGGGGGTCCTCCAGCTCCTCAAGGTCTGCCCTACTGTCCAGAACGGTCTCCTCTCTTAGGTGAGTACAAAAGGAAGGAGGAGGTGAAGGAAAGGACAAACTGTGGGGACACAGAGGCCTGGGCAGGCATGGAGTGGCAGGAGCAGGACAGATTAATGTACTCTGAAGGTGGGCTGAAGTTAAGATGGGGTGGACTCTGAATTCGGAGTTTAGACTAGGTTCCCGGGTTGGGCCACAGCTTTCCATTACCTGCCCATTTTGGGGCTCTTCCTGTCCCAGGCTAGGAATTGTTTCTCTTGTAGATAAGCCGTGGTTTAGTTAGTTAGTTGGAAGTCCAGTTCTCTCCATTCTCCAATTGTAGCTTCCAACCCTGTGAGGCAGGAGAAAGTTATAGAACCTCAAAATCAGAAGGTAGTGCCATGAACAAGTTTGGATACAGGTACAGGGCATGAAAGGGTTCTGGGAAGCAGGAAAACCCACATCCAGTGGAAGGAGGAGAGCCAAGGGGAATGTGGGTAGGGATGTCTCCCCAGGAGACTTGTGGAATGCAAAGGTAAAGATCCTGCACCTTCCAGGCTTTGTAGAGTTATCCCAATGATGCGGAACCCAAGGCTTGTGAGATTTCTTAGTGACTCTGGGGGGAACTGAACCCCAGAACCAGACTGCTAGGGCCAGAGGTATTCCAAGGCCCTGATAATCATTCTTTTCCCCTTGTCCCTCCAATCCCTGAACTTGCCGTTCCCTCCCGACAGTGGGTCCTGTGTCAGTGTCCTTTAACCCAGTGCCATCGCTGGCAGAGATTGTGGAGCGCAATCCCCGGGTGAAACCAGGGGGCCGGTACCGCCCCGCAGGGTGTGAGCCCCGCTCCCGAACAGCCATCATTGTGCCCCATCGTGCCCGGGAGCATCACCTGCGCCTTCTGCTGTACCACCTGCACCCCTTCCTGCAGCGCCAGCAGCTTGCTTATGGCATCTATGTCATCCACCAGGTACCCCCGGTCCCCACCCCACTCTCTTATCAGAAAGCCTCAAGCAAATGCCATTCCACTCCCATCTAATGAGTCCCTGGAGTTTTTTTTTTTTTTTTTAAAAGATGACCGGTAAGGGGATCTTAACCCTTGACTTGGTGCTGTCAGCACCACGCTCAGCCAGTGAGCGAACCGGCCATCCCTATGTGGGATCCGAACCCGGGGCCTTGGTGTTATCAGCACCGCACTCTACCGAGTGAGCCACGGGCCGGCCCCCTGGAGTTATTTTAAGAGGGCCATACTGTTGAATGTGGAGGAGCCCCTGGCACTGCTCTTCCAAATTTGTTAGTCCCATACTTCTTATTCTGTTTAGGATATTCCCTTTGTCCTATATTCTTCTGTGATTTTTCCTTTGTTGAGTGGTTTGTACAAATTTGGAATTGGACAGATTTGGGCTGAAATTCTTGTACTGCCATTTATTACATGTGTGACCTTGAGCAAGACACTTAATCCTCTAAAATGAGGCAAAGAGCAACAGATAACTTAATATACCACCTGTTTCACATGGTTGCTGGTTGTCAGGATTAAATGTTAACAGCAGCATGTAAGTATCAGGTACACACTGATAGCAAGAAAAATTTGTTGAATGACTAAATGAAAAAATGGAAAATGTAGCTTGTCTTATTCACCATTCTCTTTGCCCTTCACCTCACATTCATTTATATACCTCAGCACCTTTTTCTCTGTGCTACCTAAAGACATAATCTGGTCCCTGTCCACTATCTTCTAGGCTGGAAATGGAACATTTAACAGAGCAAAGCTGCTGAATGTTGGGGTGCGGGAGGCCCTGCGTGATGAAGAATGGGACTGCCTGTTCTTGCATGATGTGGACCTCCTGCCAGAAAATGACCACAATCTGTACGTGTGTGACTCCCGGGGACCCCGCCATGTTGCTGTTGCCATGAACAAGTTTGGATACAGGTACAGGGCATGAAAGGATTCTGGGAAGCAGGGAAACCCTTCCCAGTGGAAGGAGGAGAGCCAAGGGGAATGTGGGTAGGGATGTCTCCCCAGGAGACTTGTGGGATGCAAAGCTCTTTCTCTCCCTAGCCTCCCGTACCCCCAGTACTTCGGAGGGGTCTCAGCGCTCACTCCTGACCAGTACCTGAAGATGAATGGCTTTCCCAATGAATACTGGGGCTGGGGTGGTGAGGATGACGACATTGCTACCAGGTCAGACTTCCTGCCACCACCTCCCTCCCTATCCCAGCCTGGATCCCTGTCCTCTAAGACCACCACCCCTGGTCACAGCCCTCAACACCAACCTTTATCTCCCTGGTCCTGCCCTGAGCCCATTCCTTTAGTCTTTTCAGTCTATCCAGGTCAGACTTTGCACACTGCTGCCCATTCTGTCATCTTTCATTCTCCTAGATCTGGTTAGTTATATTCCTAGGAGAGAAGATAAGATCAATAGGAAATAGTATCATGGAATTCCAGAGCTGGAGAGGAGCCTAGAGAGTTTAGTCCCGCCTTCTGCTATGGTTGCATCCAGGCCACTTCATATGGGATGGAGGAGAGGGACTCAACTCTATGTAGCCTAGACTCACTTAAAAAAAAAAAAGCCTGTGCCATTGGCATGATACCAAGTCATTTTTTAGCATGTGAACATTCTGACCTTCAGCCTCGGCTGACCCAGTTTCATGTCTGTGGTATGAATATTTGGGTTTGGTATACTGGACCCATTGCCTCCCCTTCCTCTTGTGTCCTCTGGGATGACATCTCTCTGAATTCTCATCCTCTGGATATATGTAAAGCACCCAGCAAATTCTAAATGCTTGTATTCTTTCAGTTCTTCCCAGGCCATCTTCACTCCTGTTCCTTGTGTCAGAATTGGAGTTTTTTTTTTTTTTTTTTTTTTTGTCTTTTTTCCGTGTCCGGCAACGGATCGCAACCCTCAGCGTCGCCCCCACACCAGACCGGGACCGGCAACAGGATCGCAACCCTCGGTGTTGCTCCCGCGCCTTGCTCAGCCAGTGAGCGGGAACCGGTCTGCATGTGGGATCCGAACCCCCGGCGGGAGCGCCGCCGCGCTCCCAAGCGGCGCATTGTAGCAGTGCGCCACCGGGCCGGCCCTGGAGTTTGTTTTTAAGGTCCCGATTACCTGGTTCCACCCTTTCCTTAACCTAGGGGGCCAGCGGGAGAGGAGTTGGGGTAGCTCAGCTGCTATTCTTTTTTTTTTTTTTTTTTAAAAGATGACCATTAAGGGGATCCTAACCCTTGGCTTGGTGTCAGCACCACGCTCAGCCAGTGAGTGAACCGGCCATCCCCATATAGGATCTGAACCCATGGCCTTGGTGTTATCAGCACTGTACTCTCCCGAGTGAGCCACGGGCCGGCCCTGCTCAGCTGCTATTCTAAATAAGAATTGCTAATTTTGGGTCTGTAACTCCCAGTCTTGTCCTATCCATTTGACAAAAATGACCCCTCCTTCTCCCTGTCCTTCCCAGACTGCAAGGGCAGCTCCTGGGAGCCATTTAGGAAGCAAAGGTAGGAGGTGCAAACCTACCTCTGCCAATCGTTTAAAGAACCCAGTGTACCTGGCACTGGGCCCTGAAGATTTGGATACATCTAGCTTTTACAATCTCTTCAGCCATTTCCTTTTTTTCTTTGACTTTCTCCTCCCTTATAGTACTTGACGCTTTTTTAAGCTAATAGCTATTTGTTCTTTGTGTACAGAAACATGCAATCTCTTCCTTGCTGGCCTTAGCTCTTCTTGTTCACCTGTCAGCAGCTTTCCTCCACTCTCGATCCTCCAAGAGCCCCTCACTTTTCCCATAGGGTGCGCCTGGCTGGGATGAAGATCTCTCGGCCCCCCACATCTGTGGGACACTATAAGATGGTGAAGCACCGAGGAGATAAGGGCAACGAGGAAAATCCCCACAGGTAGGAAGGGAGGACAGCCTGGGAATTATTATCGGATCCTCAGGGTTCTGTACCCCTAACCAGGAACCCCCTAAGGTCCCTAGATTCCTGGCTGTTCCTTTCTTGGTCTTAGTCTCCAATCTCTAACCTTCAGATTTGACCTCCTGGTTCGTACCCAGAATTCCTGGACACAAGATGGGATGAACTCACTGACATACCGATTATTGGCCCGAGAGCTGGGTCCTCTCTATACCAACGTCACAGCAGACATTGGGACTGACCCTCGGGGTCCCCGGGCTCCCTCTGGTCCCCGTTACCCACCTGGTTCCTCCCAGGCCTTCCGTCAAGAGATGCTGCAGCGCCGGCCTCCAGCCAGGCCTGGCCCTCTGCCTACTGCCAACCTCACAGCCCCCCATGGTTCACACTGACTCCTTCTTCCTGCCCACCTTAATCATGAAACTGAATCAAAGGGGTTGTATTCTCCCCACCCTCAGCTCCTCACTGTTCTTAGAGGGATATGGGAGAACTGAACTCTAGTGCTATGTTGGGGGGGGGAGGGGCCTTGCCTCACTGCTGGACTGGAGCTGGGCTCCTTTAGACTTGGAGGGTCCCTCTTTCTAGGGTCACCTGCCAGGGCTTTGACTGTGAATCCTTGATGTCATTTTATGTGACGACTGCTGGGAGTCCCCTGTCCCTGGAGTAGGAGCAGGGCTGGACCCCAAAGCCACTTCCTCTCCTATGCAGAGAAGAGTGATCTGGCTTCTCCTGGGACCTCTGTGAATATTTATTCTATTTATGGTTCCTGGGCAGTTGTTTGGTGAAGGAAACCCCTCCCTGGGCACTTTCTGCGAGTGCTGGAGTAGCTCCCTCTTCTGGTCCTGGCTCAGGGGGCTGGGATTTTGATATATTTTCTAATAAAGGACTTTGTCTTGCCTCTGCTCCTGCTTTCTGCATCCCAGGCACACTTTGCCTCTCTTTGTCCCCCTCTACCCTTATGCCTCCAGGTAACAGAACAGCCAGACCAAGACAAGCTCCAGCAACTTTTATTTTCATGAATGGGAGACGGGGATCAGCTGTTCGGTTCTGTGCGCAGGACACTGACTGCTGCCTGACGCCCACTCTCTATACAATCATTGACAGCAACACCCTCATAGGAGGCTCCAGCCAAAGTCAGGGGTAACTTTTGAGCAGCCAGGAATTGCTTAGCTGACTCTGGAAGGAAAGGATAAAAGTCATGCTATAGCTGGGGGTCTGATTTCCTTGGTCCTCCTCAGCCCAGCTGCTTTCCCACCTTACCCAGTTTTTGCCAGTGGCCTAGTGTATACTGGGGGATGCAGTTCTGGGGAAAGAAGAGAAGATGCAGAGAAAAGTTTATTATTGATTGTCCCAGGCCTTGGTTAACATGCAGTGACAAATATAACAGTCCCTGCCTTCAAGGCCTTCATTGGGGAGCTGAGGGGAGTTTATCCCAACTCACCTTGTGTAGATGGACCAAACAGTGACTTGGTGGCTCCTTTAGTCCTAATTGTGTGGCAGCCGCTTCCTGTGCCTGCTGTTGGAACAGCTCCTGAGATAAGGCACAGCCGTTGGCCTCCAGTGTCTGTAACCAGGAACCTCCCAGCATCACCTAGGAAGGGAACATAGCACTGACCGGCCTGGCCTTGCCTACACTGGGGCATGGAGGAGCTCTTTGGAAACCACACTAAGCAAAGTTTCCCCTTCTCACAGTTACTCTGAGGCCAGGGGGGGTCCCATCCTGCTCAGGGAAAGCAACTGAGTCATACACGATTCCCAGGACACCTGGGTCTTCTGAGGATGGCACCAAATGTCCAAATCCCTGCAGAGAAGGAAATCCATGGATCAGGAGGGAAGGGCTCCAGCTGAGCCCATGTTTTCCCTTCCCTTTTGTGTCATACCTGGACAGGCAGACGAGCTCCTCGGTACTGCAGATTCACCACAGCTACAGACACAGCAGTGATGGTCCTGAGGACATCAGCCAGAGGCGCAGCCTCAGCAGGGAGCAGCTCACTGAGTACTGGAGGAAATCAGGCAGAGGCCTGATTCAGGAGGCATTCACACTACAGTTTTGTCAAGTCTCTGGAATTAGACTGCCATAGAGATGACCAATTCAGGGGTATGGTGTGGAGAAAGTACAGCTGTTTTAAGAAAGTACAGCTATGGCCTCATGCTGGCCGGGCAAGGGGAGCGTGGCTACCCCTGCTACTGTTTTAAGAAAGTACAGCTATGGCCTCATGCTGGCCGGGCAAGGGGAGCGTGGCTACCCCGTTACCTGAAGCTGGAACAGCACTAATAACATGGTCGGCATCCAGACTGCTATCCCCTAGAGACACCTGAGAGGAAAAAACATTTGAGGGACATGGAGATAATGAGAATTTTTTGGGTGAAATAAGACTTTTGCTGCCTCACTCTCAGTTTCCCAGGCACCCAAATGGTAGGAAAGGCTGGGTGCTGACCCAGGATGAAGAGACTGAGTGACTGTGTAGTCCACACAAAAATCAGTGTTCTACACTCCAGGAAGTGGGCCAGACAGAGGCCAGTGTGGCTGCTCTGAATGTTCTGTGGAGCTGGGTTCTTTCCCCATCCCTGAGCCACTTGTACGCACTACTTCTACCCATAGACTTGCATCAAAGGGGTCTTTGAGGAAAGTCCACAAACAAGGCCTAGGAACCTGGGGCAGCCCATATCTAAATAGCTTCTAGGGCACAAAAACAATGACTAACTCTAGTCCTATCAAACCACTTAAAGATAGAAACACTGACATGGGTTCATTATACTCTAGGGGGCTCCCCTACCTTCCAGCGCCCGTCAGCTTGGAGGCTGAGCCCACAGACCGGCTGGCCTCTGAGAACACTGACCCCCCTACTAGTCAGGTGGGCATCAAGAGACTGAGGCAACATCTCCAGCCCTCCACGGAGTGACCACTGACTCCAGTGCTCAGCCCGGGCCTGGCGAACGAGTGCTGAGTCTGGCTGTGGGCTCTGACCTGCAGAGGAAGAAGTAGAGAAGAATTATCAAAATAGCATCCTTTGCCCCAATGTCTCACTTTGGCAGTCCTTAATATCTTCACCCTTTGAACCAATACCCCCCTCACCTGCCCCCAGCAGCAGCCCCAGTAATACGGAACGATGGGTTTGCTCAGCTTGGAAGAGGCTGGGAAAGCAGGACCTTATGCTGAGCTCACGGCTGTTGCCTGCAAATACTCCACGGCAGAGACTGTCCATGGCTAGAGACGCCACCTTAAGGGTGAGACTGGGACTAAGAGGCCAAGGAATATACTACACAAATTTATTTCCACTGCCCCTGCTTGGTAGGGAATGGGGGTGGGGTAGGGTTTAGGTTGTGGGGCATTCCCATTATAATAGAAGGATGGGAAGGAAGTGAAGGAATTCACCCCAAACCCTGATTTTGGGGAATTACAGTGGGTATGAAGAGGGCATCCCCAAATGATACAGAGCCCTTAGGTGGTAGGTTTGAGTAGGTAATTCTGCAGCTGGTGTAGGAGGGGTGAGGTTTGGGACCTCTCTGCACTGTCACCTCAGGTCCAAGGCGTCGCTGGGTAAAACTGTGCACGGTCTCATCAGGCTCTTTGCCCCGGGGCTTGGTCAGCTCCCTCAGCCCAGCCCAAAATAGAGGTTTGGAGAAGGGGGGTGAAGGGCGGAGTAGCCCCCTGCATGGAGGAAGGCATAGTGAGGAGAGAGCTCCTGATTTACCTCCCCAGCTCCAGGGGGTCATTTCCATCCTTTTGGCCCGCTTTTGCTGGGAGGGCTGACAGACAAGAACATGAGGAAATGGAAGGGATATGAGGATGGGGGTAAAGTAGAAGGATGTGCAATAAAGAGGTGATGGTGTTACCTGAGGCCAGTGGGTAGGGGGTACAGGGCACCGCCTACATACAGGAACCTGTTCTGGGCAGCTGGATGGTCTCCCCGGACAGGCAATACTTCTGAGTCCAAGCCAAGCTCAGAAACCTGCTCTCCACACACCGTCGGGAAGAGGAGAAACTAAGGAAATGTCTGACCCACCAGCTATTCCCCTAGTGAAAAATCCCCTCCGCAAACTATCCCAGACATTCTACAAACCTCTCACCATGAGCAGGGTCCGGGCTCCCAGGGCTCCCGCTGGCCGAATTCCCCTAGGTCCAAGCTCAAAGATAGCACCATCCGGCCCTCGGACTGAGCGGATCCAGCCTCCCAGACGCTCGGTACCCTCCACCAGGATCACCTGGAGACAAGAAGGGACACTGCAAGCACCGTCTGTAGCCGCGGGGTGAGAGGTTTGGAGGGGAAAGGGGACGTGCATTCCTCAGGCCAGGATCCATCTAGCCTTTGCTGGAAACGGGAGAAGAGTATTAAACGAGGCTCCCTCTGGCACATGTGTGGCACGGACACTGCAAGCACCGTCTGTAGCCGCGGGGTGAGAGGTTTGGAGGGGAAAGGGGACGTGCATTCCTCAGGCCAGGATCCATCCAGCCTTTGCTGGAAACGGGAGAAGAGTATTAAACGAGGCTCCCTCTGGCACATGTGTGGCACTCACCTTAGGGAGACTGGGGGCTCGGCTCAGGTGGTAACAAGCAGCCAAGCCGCTGATGCCTCCGCCCAGCACGACCACGGTCCGACCCATTGGGAAGCCAGGGAAAAAGGGGGCGATATGGACAGGCCGACCGGGGCGCACCCTGCGCTCCAAAATCCTCGCGGGCTCCGCGTTCCACACGAAGCCACTCTCTGCTTTAGGAGAAACTAAGACAGCGCTCGTGGATGGGCTGGTGGAACAGTGAGATCCCCGCTCAGAGGCCAGGACTCACCCACGACAGGTAGGGAGCAACGAGAGAAAACTAGGGAGAAGGAAGTAGAGATCGCAGGACCTCACCCGGCCGGCGCTCCGCTAAGTGCAGATAAAGGCCACACCCAAGCTATCTGCTCTGGCAGGCCTCGGCCGGCGGGCTGGAGGCCTGAGTTCTGAGGCGTTCTGCTTCGCACGCCTCACTAAGCCAACAAGTGCTTCACGTCCGCCACTCCCGCCCCCAGACCTTCGGTCGCTCCAACTCTCCTTCTACTCTATTCTCACGGCACGCTCCCGACCCTATCCTTCCTGCTTCTGGATTGGTGGATCCTGGAAGGCCCCGGATCACGCTCACCAATGAAAACACTGATCTGACCGTGACTCTACCAGGCGGAGCGACGGCGGCTGTAAGTCGGTGCTCTGGGAAGCAGAGGTTAACCGTTTCAGAGCCAGGTTGAAGTGAGCGTCCGTGGCCGGTACTGCCTTCCCCAGGGCCGAGGCGGAGAGAGCCGAGTCCTGGAGTTAACATTCCCCAGCTCAAGTTTCCCAGGCCCAGCTAGGGTGAGAACCCTGGAGAGAGGTCCCCATGAGCTTGGGTTGTAGGGAGAGTAGATGGGGACACTGGAGGCCGGTCCGCGGGGAGGCGGCTCCATAAACATCTCTTTGATGTTAGCAACCGACCGGGCCTACGGGAGCTAGGGCCGCCCGGCAACGCACCCAGTGTTTGTCAACAGGGGTTCTTCGGTGCCTCGCCCTCGGCAAAACCTTCGCCCCAGTGCCTGCACTCTAGTTACAGGCCTCCCCGCAGCTTCTTGAATTTGAACTTTGCCTTCCTTCTTTTCCTCCCAACTAAACTTTCCCTACTTGGGCACAAATCGTCCGGGTCCAGCACCACTCCCGACTCTTCTCCCTTGGCACTGAGAACGCCCCACCTGTTCAGAGCGGGAACTGGGTCCAAGGAAGACTCCAATTTGGCCCAGTTCTATATAACCACCCCCTAAGCACAAATACAAATAAGGACATCACTTTTTCTTAATAAATTTATTCACAAAAAGTGAGATTGCAGAGGGGGCTGTACATGGGCAGGGGCCTGGTGACCTCTGTACATGGGGCAGGGAGACAAGGGAGCCTCCGCGTGGAAGGATACTTTTTAATAAAAAAAATAACGGGAGCTACAACCACCCTTCCCCCCTCCCCGATTAAAAAAACACAAAAATAGACGTCTCTGAGGTAAATGGGGAGCCTGGGGCTTAAGGGTGTTGAAAGGATTTCACAGGTGCCAGAGCTTAAAGGAGTATGTCACAGGCACCGGGGTGGCTCCTGCATGAGTTGGTAGAACAGCACGTAGCCCTCACTGGATGCCACCTGGTTTTCACTGACAGGGGAGACACTAGGAAGAAGGGAAATGGGGAAGAGGTTGTGGTCATTTCTGTATATTCCCTCCTCCCCTCAAGACTCAACCTCAGAGTATCCAGGAAGAGATAAGGCGAGACCCCCCCCACACCTCTCCTGGGGCTTCCTAGAAGGGGAAGGTGTCAGGGCTGCAGTGGGAAGGAGGTGAACAGAAATGGGGCAGGAGTTGAACAGGAGGCTGCTCTCACCGAGAGTCATTGTAGACATGCCAACCAGTCTGGCAACGGCACAGGGCTGTGTAGTGGCCATAGTGGACGCTGCCCGAGTGGTTGCAAAGGGCATACAGCTGGTATACAGGGCTTCCTGCAGGGTTAGAGATGATCAAGTTCTACAGTCAGAACTGTGTCCCCCTCCTGAGGTTCCTTAGGACCTTCCCCACTAGACTCACCGGCTTTGTCACTGGCAAAGTCCCCTAGGCTCAGTCGCTGCAGCGGGAAGTCTACACCTACTGAACTTTTCTTGATGGAGCCTCGGGAGGCGGAAAATCGATTCAGATCTAAGCCCTGGTTAAGGAGCATTTGGGAGGCAGAGAGCCTCTGAGAGGGACTGTGGTCCTGAAGGCTGCCCTCTCCCCTCCCCCAACATATACTAGGAGCACAGTAGGGAAAGGTGGGGTGGCAGGGTTTTCCTAAGGAAGATTCAATTCCCAAGAGACCAGCCTCTGTAAACATGTAGAGTGAGGAAAGAAAATGTATGGGAGGTATCCTAAGATAAATAAGAATTTGAGGATTAGGATATGGAGCACGAGGATTCGGGGGAATCTTTGTACAGTCAACTTTTTGGTACTTCGTGTTTTCTGCCGACATCGGTCACACACCTGAATAAATGCCAAATTAGCATTAGGTTAATGTGCTCCTCACCTAATTTGGCTTTTCTGACACACTGGTTCACGTACAAATTTAATATGCTCCCCATTACCTCTGTATCCTCTGGGCCACTCCCCTTTGCCCTAGGAGTACTAGGACATATCTGACACTTCAACACAAACCCAGACATATAAATATTATTCCCATACTAATGTATTATGTAATCCCTTTTATCCATGTGTCCCCCAAGTCTCCCACCCTTACTATATCCATTGTGAACCCCCACATACTGGGGCATTCTCCGACTCTAGTTCTTCTTCCTTGGTGAAAAGGCTGAAACAATCCCGCAGAGACACCTTGCCCCCAGCAAATCCTTTCTGAGGGGAAAGGGGAAGGAAGGGTCAGCATGTTCTGAATTTTTACAACTCTTGTCAATCAATTCAGGCTTCAATTCTGCTCCAGAAACCCACAGAGCTCCCTCCCATACTCTGGGGATAGGAAGAGTTGGGTCACAGAACCCATGTCCCATCCACCCCTGGAATCCTCTGGAATCCCACCTTGGGGATGGGCAGGGACAGGTCACAAAAAACCTCGAAGGTCGTGGAGCGATACCCACAGGCCTGGCACTTGAGACAACTTTTCAACTGGCCCACAAACAGGTCTAGATAAAAGTAAAGGGGAAGGAGAAAAAGTCATTGTTGGATGTCTGAGGTGCTTTCTCTGATTCCCAACTCTCCCCACCCATTTACCTAACCCCTCCTTTCTCCCTATCAACACTCCTAACAAACTATTCACACCATTACACATTTTCATCATCCAGGCTGGTTCCCACACCCCTTGATAGTATCAAGTTTTTTCTCCTAAGCCTGCACCCCTGCCCACAAATTTCCCCCCATTGCTTTGCCCCATTTCGTACCCACAATCTTGCTGTCCTCTCGCTCCAGATAACGCTTCCACATTAGGTTGGCTCGGTCATCATCACTATCACAGATCAAGAGAAGTGGGGAGCACCCATGAGATAGCAGGAACACTGGGCACCCCCAACACCACTGAAATGATCCACAGAGCCGTGTATCCCACCCACAACCCAGCTCCTGCCCTACATTTCAAGAGAAAGACAAAGGAGTAACACTTCAGAGGACTTTCTAAGGAAACCCAAAGTGAGAGGAAAAGAATATACCTAAGGGACAAGCTGTCTTCCCCTACCTGGCTTCAAACACTTTTTATGTACCTTGTTGTAGATTAATTATCCCCTTCTCCCTTGATTTGGTCACATCCCTAATACCATCTTCTACCTCCATATGCACCTCTCAGCCTCCCTCTGCCTCATTCCTTCCTTCTACTTCTGCACTGCTTTTCAAACCATTTTCGAAGCTAAAGGGTTTCCCTGGACCCTACATCCTTAGTCTTAACTAGCTCAATTCAATGAAGAATGAATGCTGCTGGAGAGAGGAGGGAGGGGAGCGACCCTTACCTTAACTCAGGTTCTTCTAGCAGAGTCCCTCCTCGGCGGGGTGGAGAGGGAGCTGGACCATTGGCCAGGATTGGTGGAGCCCGACGGCCTCGTCGGTTGATTTCAAGGTGTAGCCGCTCCATGAGGAGCTTCAGGAACTCCTGGGCATCCTGCTGGCTACAGTCATACAGAGAATATGATCCCCTCCTAGTCCAAAGACACTATCCCCTGCCCAGACATCAGTCCCCACTTCCTGGATGAAGAACATCTGAAGGCTCAGAACAATGCTGCCAGGGCCCTTGCTTGGCCCTATCCCCAGACATGGCCAGAGAGAAATCCCAACCCTCCAGCTCTCCCACCTGTATCCAGAGAAGGAGGGAACATATTTCTGGAAGACAGCTCGGAATCGAGTAGGATTCACAGCTTCACAGGAGTCAGGGTGCCAGAGGGCACCAATCACATCTGCAAAGGCTGTTGGGGTGGGAGTGGGGAAGGAAAACAAAGGTTAATGTCCGGAAGAGGCAAGCAAGAAGAGGTTCAGAGAGTAGAAAAGAACCTCTAGGAAAGTAGGCACTGGGAAAAATGGATACAACTGCCAGCGTTAGGGTTGGGGGCCACCAGTACTGGCAGATAGGTCCGCAAGGGGCTGGGGAAAAAGGGACTTGAATTGAGGAAGCAGGAGTTGTTGGCCTACCTTCAGTGAGCTCTTGGGCTCGGCCCCCTCCAGGCACCTCTTGCCGGAAGTCCCTTCGCAGACAGAAGTCCCGAAGAGGCCGAGTGCTGCTCAAACACTGTAGCACTGCATTCAGGAAGCACTGGGGAGCAGTAGGGACACTGCTGTTATCTCTTCAGGCCAGTGCCCAGGAAGCCTCGGAAGATCTTCAGTGATCTCCTTCCACATGCCTTCCCCAGGTCCACAGATTCTCCCCACCCCCAGCACCATTTCACACTTCTTTTAGAGAGGAAGGGCAGGAGAATGGCTCTCACCGTGTTTCCCAGATTTCGGAGGCCAACATGACCAGAGCCCAAAAGCAGTGTGTGATGAGCCTGTAAGGTCAGAATACAGTCAGCAAGTTTCAAATATCCTACCTGTCACTTTAACCTTTCAACAGCATGCTGCCCACTGCCTTCCCGACCCCTTATGTGCTTCACCCCCAAACTGTACCCCCTTTCCCTCACTGGGTATTCTGGTCTCCCTACCTCACTGGTCATGAGCAGTAAGCCCATCACAGCTGAGTGTACCACGGACTCAGCCATTGCTGTCCCACCTGTTCCCCACTTACTCCTCTGCCCAGCTAGCCGGTGCTTCAGCTCCTGGGGCAACTCCCCAAGTACTGGCATTGTTGCCCAGCTGCTCCCCACCCCCACCTTGCTGCCCCCAAATCCACCTCCTGCCCCCGTGGCCCCTTCCTGCACCCTCTCCTGCTGGCTCTAACTGCAATCCGCCTAGGTCACTTAGCTTAGCAAATGGGCAACTACACTAGCTCAGACGTTCTGAGCCCGCCCCTCTTCAGCTCCAGAGATTAATTAGGCCTAGGCAGAGTCCTAGGATAGAAGGTGCAGTAAGAGAAAGGAAGGGCCTGGGGACCCAAAGAAG